ATTTCATGTATGAAGATTAAAATAACAGTTAATTATCAAAACCAGACTCACTGCCATCATCAAGTCGATTGCCACCCACAGTAACCCCTCCTTGGGTTTCTGAGGCGGTATCTCTATGGAAGTAGATTGCCCAGTCTTCCTTGTGAGAAGTGGCTGGTGGGTTTGAACTGCCAGCCTTCTGGTTAGCAGTCACATGCCTTAGGCACTATGCCATCCACCTCTTCCAAAATGTTATTAGTAAAATTAAGCAAAGTGAGTTCAATTTAGCTCAACAAATGTGTCACACTAAGCTAGTAGCTAGTAGGTTGAGGGAGATTTGAAAAATGAATAAGGCACAATGCTTGCCTTTATGGAGCTTCAGCTTAGGTGTAGGGTCAGATGTTCAACAAATAATCCTCATAAATTAAGCAGAAAGACAGGTATGCTAGAGAGGTGGACTAGGAATGCAGAAAGAGAAGAGTTCATTCAGGCCATTGTCTCTAGTTTCCAACTTTCTTTTAGCCCTTTGTACACACTACAGTGAAATTGCCCTTCAGAAGGCTACCATGGCCTCTTTGCTGCTAAATTTGATGTATATACGTTGTCATTATGATCTGTTTCTCAGCAGCACCTTCCTTCCTGAAGCACTCTCCTATCTCCAGTTACAGCTCTCCATGTTCTCTCACTGGCCATCCTTTACTGGCTCTTCTTCCTTTTCTAACCTCTAAATAGTTGGACTATGCTCTGGGCACTCTTCTCTAACTATACTTTCCCATGACTTTAAATGTCAGTTATGGTAACAACTCTGAAATTTTTATCTCTAGTCTAAGCCTGTTCTCTAGCTCTAAACTCCAATATCTAAGCACTTACTTGCATCATTGCTTGGATGTTACAGAGATATCTCAAATTTTATATGTCCAAAAAGGAACTCTTGATATTTTTTCTTCTAAATCACTTCTCTTTTTTTCTCTTCTTAACATCAATCGAGAACAGATATTCCTGACATCCAGCCAGAAACCTTGTGCCAACCTTTCTCTTGCCCCTCATAGCCAACTCATCAGCAGATCCTATCAGTTCCACTCCAAGGTTTATTAAAACTGCCTCTGTATCTCCACTGCCACCACTCTAGTCTAAGCTCCACTAATAATCACTGGGACCAGTGCTTCTCAAACTCTCAGTGGTGAAAGAAAAGCTTCTTTATGATTACAGACTTAAACTTTTATAAAGCTTTTGCTACATGAAATTAACTGTGCTAATTAGACAACACTAAACCTATTTTTAATCCATTCAATGAGATTGAAAGCATGGATGTTGCAGCAATGTCAGATGGCTCCAGAAGTTTCTAAACATTTACTCTCAGGTTTCTATAATTATCTTCTCCTGCTGTTGCTGTTATGTGCCGTCAAGTCAGACCTGACTCATAGGGACCCCTCCTTGGGTTTCCCAGGCAATATCACTACGGAAGTAGATTGCCCAACCTTCCTTCCGAGGAGTGGCTTGTGGGTTTGAACTGCCAGTCTTCTGGTTAGTAGTCAAGTGCCTTAGGCACTATGCTACAAGAGCTCCTACTTAATACTGAAACTGTTTGTTATTGTTGTTGTTATGTGCCATCGAGTCGAACCTGACTCATAGCAACCCCTCCTCGGGTTTCCAAGGTAGTATCACTACGGAAGTAGATGGCCCCATGTTCCTTCTGAGGAGCGGCTGGTGGGTTTGAACTGCCAGCCTTCTTGTTAGCAGTCTAGTGCCTTAAGCACTACGCTACCAGAGCTCCCTATCTTCTCCTAGATAGTAACAAAAAACAAAGGGTTCCATGTTCAAAAGCGTTTATAATTTTTCTTTGTGTGTTTAGCTCTAAAATTATCATAAAGATCTTTCTAAAGTTGAAATCAATGTATTTCTCTCACTTAGACATAGTGGAATTCCATTTACGCATGTTAATTTTTTCCTTTTCTTCAGACTCAATATTCATTTAAACAAGTATTTGGTACTCATACCACCCAGAAGGAGCTCTTTGATGTTGTGGCTAACCCCTTGGTGGATGATCTCCTTCATGGCAAAAATGGTATGATTCTTGGTATTGTTGGATTTTAATTTTTTCCCCTTTCTGATGAGAATTTTTGATATGTATATATATATGTTTGGCATTAAATTCAGATTTTTTTAGGGTGGTATTAAAACCTTTTTCAAGCTGGCTAAATTTTAGTGTTTTAAATACAATGAAGAAATACTATAAATGAAGAACTTTTAAGATATGGCTTGACTGATGGTGACTTGCTACATTGTAGGTCTTCTTTTTACATATGGTGTAACTGGAAGTGGAAAAACTTACACGATGACTGGTTCACCTGGGGAAGGAGGACTGCTTCCTCGTTGTTTGGACATGATCTTTAACAGTATAGGGTCATTTCAAGCTAAACGATATGTAAGTAATTATTTTGTGTTATGACTTTCACTTACCAGCACAGGGACTAAGAAACCTATGGATACAATGGTATTAAGGAAGAGCCGTTGGATCCATTTTGTAAACTTTAAATATGTTTAAATGTTAAATATGCTTCTTATTATTTAAGTCAAAGTATAAAAAACTTGGTCTGATTTTTGTCCCACTTCAGGTTTTTAAATCTAATGATAGGAATAGTATGGATATACAGTGTGAGGTTGATGCCTTATTAGAACGTCAGAAAAGAGAAGCCCTGCCCAATCCAAAGACTCCATCTAGCAAGTAAGTATTGACATTTGTATGTAACACTGGCCTAAGGGGCATCGGATTTTGTCAAGTGGTTTCCTTGGGCATAGGAAATGGTGAAAAGAGTAAGTAGAGAAATTGGTGTGACAGTTGACTTTAGTGAAGTAGAAGCTGAGGAATATTCTTAGGTTTATTTGCTCAGATTTTCTCTTTGGTTTTAAGCACACTGCCATTGAATCGCTGGTTAGAGACAGTGCTGCTCTGGGTGGGGAGAGGGTGTAAAACACCACTGTGTATTTGGGAGAATGTAGGATACTATTGGGGGGTGGGACTATGAATTAAGTTGCTTTGTGCATTTCTGCTTGTAATGGCAAATCATTTATGTTATATCTTTGAGATTCCCCCTGGTGTTTTCACTTTTGATAGTGACTCACAATGTAGAAGATCAGACTTTTTTTTTTCTTCTTCCTAGACGACAAGTAGATCCAGAGTTTGCAGATATGATAACTGTACAAGAATTTTGCAAAGCAGAAGAAATAGATGAAGATAGTGTTTATGGTGTATTTGTCTCTTATATTGAAATATACAATAATTACATATATGATCTGTTGGAAGAGGTGCCATTTGATCCCATAAAGCCGAAGTAAGTAGTGAAGAGAGCCACTTCTTGACTGCTTAATTCCAGGAAAGCCATTTTCCTTGATGAACCTTTGTGTCCTCGTCTACAAACGAGAGTAATGCTTACTTTTTAGAGTTGTTGTCAGAATGAAATACTATATTTTGCATATCATGTAGTTAATACTCAATGTGTCTTATATTATTAACTAGACATATGCAACTGTATTAAGGAACCAGTAGGTCAAGGCATTGTAGGAACAAAGTGACCTGAATATTCATCTTGGAGATAACTTTGGGAAATTCTTGGCCCTGGGCTATGTTCTGAGAAGGATCTTAATGAATTTTATCAGGAAGTATCCCTATGAATGTGCTCTGGGGCTCCCTGTGAAGAACTTGACACTAGCGTTTGATGTTTTGTACCCTCTTTAACCATTTTGCATCTCAGTGATCTCTACATAATAGGGCCAAAACTATTGTCTGTATAATTATTGCAGACCCTCTGACATCTGCATCATTATTCCACCAGAACTAAATTACTGCCCCTTAGATTTCTTTGGGTCTTGCCCTGCTGAGACTGAAGACCAGTTATAATCTGACATCACAGACAATTAAATCTGCATTTGTGCCTGAGCTGACTCTGGAAACTTGTGTCTAATACAAGGAGCTTGTTCCCAAGTTGATGATTCTAAAGCCAAAGGTTTATCTTAAATACTGTCGCATTAGGGTTAGCACATAAATAATGTGATAATATATGTCTTATATTTAACTTTGTGTGTATGCCTAATGAAACATTATTGGGGAAAACAGCTGGATTTAGAAAACCATTAGACTGAGAAAAGATGTTGATATAGTCACTTTTGTTTACATTAGTGTATTTACAGACTCTTGTTGAGACCACACTTAATAAAAGTATTCCTGTGGTTCTTACTAAGTCACATTTTGGTGTAATTATCTAGCATCCTTGAACTTTCACCTGCATTGATTGGGGAAACAATGACAAAATTGCTAAGTAAACCAAATGTAAAAGTATTTAGGAGTTTTTATGAATGATGATTCTGAACCTTTTGGTGCTTTTGCTCTTTGAATCCTGCAAATGAGAACTTTACAAAGGGACTTATTCTGCAATGACTTATCTTTATTTACCCTTGGAATGTTGGTATTAAGAAAGAAATTCTTAGGTTACGTTACAGAGTAATACATTAAAAAGTGAAAAACTTATTAAACAGCGGTTTTATATCAAACTGATTACTTTCTTGTTTTATATCAAAGTTATCGGTTGTCTTGATTCTACTTTGTGTGTATTTACTTGTTTTCTAAGTTATTGAGGTGCCATCCATAGCTATCAGCCACTTTCGTTTCTATGCATGTGCCAAGTTTTTGTTGATTTGTTTTCAGCGAGATTATTTTTAAAGGAGACTTACATAGTTTTCATTTAGTTAACACAAAAGGAAGACTGGCAAATGTGACTTGCGTGCCTTCTAGGGTTTCTGGTAACTCCCTGAATGAATTTACAAGGGTCCAGTTCCCTGTTAAATGTTCTGTATTGAACATGTTGCTGTGAGGTGGCTGCTGTAGAAACAGTAACTTATACTTTATTCCTTTGGTAGGTGGAACAGTTGCAGCACTCCCATGAGGAACACAGACTTTATGTATGTGATGGGGTTGGTGCTTTTCTTAGGGAGAAGGGTGCAGTTATACTAGTGGTTGGCATCTGTGGCGTGTTTGCATGTAGATTGTTTTTCATTGGCAGTGAGCTCACTGCTACTTCTAAGCCCCTCCTTGTTTCTTTAAAAATCTGCACATGTCTGTGATGGTGGTGGCCGGTAAATATCCTACTTTCACTATTCACAAGGCTGAGGCCAAATAGCCAGCACCCTTTCCCACCCTCATCCTACCATATGGACTAAAACTTTACAAGCCACTTTTAAAAGATTGCCACTCCTGGTATAGTAAAGTCTTTCTGAATTATTTCTTTCTTATTCTTGCTGAGAAGGGCAGAAGCAGCTCTGTCTGCTGATCTTTTAAAATTAGGAAAATGCTAGATTTTGCTGCTTAACTTGTGCATGTGATGTTGCTGTTATGCTACTTTGGTCTTTAGTTGTTTAGTAAGTGTTTAATGTACTTTGTGAATTAGAACAAACTTTTAAAATGAAATTAGTCCCTGTTATCCTATTAGTAGCTAATCTTGACTATATCCTTATACTCTTATTAAAGTGTAACATTTTTGTGGAGTCTGTCTTAAGCTTATTTCCATTATAAAAATAGATGTCATGTCAGCTGGCTTTTTAGTCCATAAGTGCAGATACTAGTATCTCATAATTTAGGACAGTAACTTTTTTTTGTTTCATATAGACCTCCACAATCTAAATTGCTTCGAGAAGATAAGAACCACAACATGTATGTTGCAGGATGTACTGAAGTAGAAGTGAAATCTACTGAGGAGGCTTTTGAAGTGTTCTGGAAAGGTTAGAAACAGAATTGCAAATATATAATAAATATAATTCTAAGAGCTGCTACTACAATTTGACAGCAATCCTTTTCTAAGTAATAGAAAGCATGTATAATGAAATGCCTGAGTTCAGGTTTGACCGGTGATTTCTGTGTCATTATAGGCCAGAAGAAGAGGCGTATTGCTAACACTCATTTGAATCGTGAGTCCAGCCGATCCCATAGCGTGTTCAACATTAAATTAGTTCAGGCTCCCTTGGATGCAGATGGAGATAATGTCTTACAGGTAATGTGTGATGTCTTTCTTGTTCTAATGAAATCCTTACTTTTTGGAGTTAAATCCAGGAGATTTCATTGCAATAAAGATTTCTCTAGAAATCTAGTTACAGTGCCAGTGATAACTTTCTTTTGTTGTTGTTCTGTGAGATAGTGTTGTTTTAGTTAGCTGGGTAGTAGATCTCAGGACCTGGCATTTTGCTGTGAAAAAGGTTTACAAAGCTTGTAAAAAGCTCTTTAATAAAGGAGAGAAAATGAGAAGAATGTGAGATTCATTGTTTTTATCTCTGAAAATTCACTTTGTAGGGGAAACTTAGTTAATGGTTTTAAAGGTTACCAATTAACTTACTAGGGTATACATTCAAGAAGTGGCTTATGTTCTAAACCATTTGTCTTTCTGGGTGATAGGCCACTGGGACCCTACATCTGTTGGTCACTATTTGCTGCTGGGCTTTCATCAGTTAGTAACAACATTTGAAGCCAGTTAAAAATCACTTAATAACTTTAAGCTATTAAAGTATAATTCCATTCAAGTTATATTAGGAAATCGTGGCATTATGAAGGTTTACAGATGGCAGGAGATGTACAGGATGGCAATTTAAATGCAGCCATTGGAGAGAAGACAACCAGGAATCCCAATTCTGATGTATTTACTAGTGTTGTCAACTAATAGCAATAGAACCTTCCCCCTTAGATTGTGAAGATTAAAGGAGCTAATGTGTTCAAAGTTGTTAGTCAAGTGCTTGGCTTACAATAAGCATCAGTAAATGTTAGCTAGACCACGGTTATAAGGCAAGCCTCCATATACACTTGGTTTCCTTTGAATAATATCTAATACTAAAATATCAGTTATGAACCTCTTGACTTTCATTTCTTATTATAAAAATCTTTAAGAGTTTTATGAAATTATTAGATTGTTATAAAATAATTAAACTTCTAGATACAGAAAAATTTAGGATCTGCTGTTTTAGATTCACTCTTCATTCAGTAAATATTGAGTTCCTGCTAAATGCTAGGCTTTATGCAGGGTGCTGGAGATAAAGTCATAAAGAAGGCAGATAGAGTCTGCTGTCATGGAGTTTACAGTCTAATGTAGAATACCAAGTAGTAGACAAATGAACATTAATGTCATGAGTATATTTATCATACACTTTTAGCAAACTCTCCTCAAAACATTTATCCTTTGCTTCTCTGCATTTTGTATTACATAAATATTGTATTCATAAGATTTAATAATCTGTTGGTTTGGATCCATTTACATAGCACTGTAAACAAATTATAATTCATGTTATTGGCTTTATGATCTTTTTTCAGGAAAAAGAACAAATCACCATAAGCCAATTGTCCTTGGTAGATCTTGCTGGAAGTGAAAGAACAAATCGTACAAAAGCAGAAGGGAACAGATTACGTGAAGCTGGTGAGTAAAGCACACCAAAAAGCAAACTCTGCCATCGAGTCAGTTCTGACTCATAGCGACCCCCACTGGGTTTCTGAGGCTGTAAATCTTTAAGGAAGTAGATTGCCCCATCTTCCTTCGGTGTAGTGGCTGGTGGGTTTGAACCGTCAACCTTCTGGTTAGCAGTCAAAGGCCATAGGCGCTGTGCCACCAGAGCATCTTGAGTAAAGCATAGTACTTACTTATTGCTGTACTTGTCAGAAATTTGCAATATCAATTTATTATGTATTTGTTGATAGGAAGTTTCAACATAAATGTCTTCAATTAGATCATTTAGATGTTAAGTTGAATGGTCAGTGCTATTTCTTTAGCTATACTGTTTTGATATTGATCCATTATGATTCATTGATTTCTTTAAGAGTGTGAGAGATTAACTAAATATATTCATATTGACAGAGTCTGTTAATATTTCTTGGTAGTAAAATAGGTCACTATTAGGTCCTTCAAATTAAGAGACTTAGCAGTTATTCCAGTATTCATAGTGGTAAGAATTAGCTTCTGGAGATGAGGAAAAAAATTATTGAACAAAAAAGCCAGTTGCCGGGAATCTATGTTGTTTTTTTAATCTTTAATTTGGTACAGCCATGTATATTGTATTTTATGTTATTAAACATTTATTGATTATTAGCTGTGTGCCAGAATTGAACACAAATGTAAAGGAGGAAAAGCCCTGCCCTTTTGATCCCAACATAATAGGCAGTGAGTAGACCCTCTTAGTAGAGTAGGGTAGAAGTCAGCTCAGGGCACTCTGAGTACAGAGTAGGCTATCTAACCCATCTAGGGGTGGGGAAGGTGCTTCCAGGAAGAATTCATGGAGTTGACACTTAAGTTGAGTTATGTGAAGAAGGACAGGATTAAGGGCACCATCCTTGCCAGGCAGAGGCGACACTCAGACCAAATCCTGAGAGTATGGCAGAATCACTTAGCCAAAGTGCAGATGTAGTTTGGGATATGAGTAAGAACTGAGGTAGGGGAACAAGTGAAGGTCATGAAGACCATTGTCTATCATATTACAAAGTTTGAATTTTATCTTGAAGGAATAATGGTGGCTACCTATTATTAAGGGTCTAGTGTGTATATCTTAGAATCTGGTATGTATGGGCTTGATTTCTTGATTCTGTTTTTTCAGAAATGTATCATCCCCATTTTTCAGATGTAGAAATTGGTTTGGGGAGGTTAAGTGATTTTCTCAAGGTTGGAGTCCAGGTTCAAATCCAAGTTTGACTCTCAAAACTGGTATCTTTCTACTATGTTAAATAACTTTCCCTTAAAATCATTTGGCCAGTGTAGAACATTAATTTATCAAGGATAAGTCTTAAGAGATATGAAAGAGCATTTAGGAACCTTTTGTAGTAATTCAATTAGGAGCTTTTTGTACAATTAACCTTGATTAGAAACTTGACTATTAGAATCAGCAGTAACCCCTCTGGGATTTTCGGGGTCTATCTCTCTTGGAGTTTCTATTGAAGCCAACTCTAGCCTGAAATGGTGATACTTTTTAGGAAACTAATATGAGGATATTGAAACATCTGTATCTAATAACTTCCTTCACAGAATTTAGAATTTGGAGGAAATCTTACTGGACATTAAATCCAATATTTTATTCGATGGAGAATCCATTTGATAGAATCTCTAAAAACTGAATAACTTCTCCTGAAATACTGCTATTGAAAGAGCCGCGCCGTGTGTGGACAGCTCTTTAAATCAAGCAACTAAAATCTGTTGTCATTTCCACCTAAATAGTTTTATGAAGTATAGATATTATAGGCAGACAGAACATGCGTTAGCTACTACATTGTTTTTAAATGTCTTCTGTGTATGTTTTTTGTCAGGTAACATTAATCAGTCACTAATGACACTGAGAACATGTATGGAAGTCCTCAGAGAGAACCAAATGTATGGAACTAACAAGGTAGACAATAATACCCAAACCCAGCTGCCGTCCAACCAAACCTACTCCCATTGAGTTGATTCCGACTCATAATCATTTTTTTAGTTTCCTTTCTGTGTATTTTTTGCCTTATGTGTTTGGGTTTGAATGTATTTATAGATGGTTCCATATCGAGATTCCAAATTAACCCATCTGTTTAAGAACTACTTTGATGGTGAAGGAAAAGTACGCATGATTGTGTGTGTGAATCCAAAGGCTGAAGATTATGAAGAAAGCTTGGTAATTGAAATTTATTTATCCTATAAAGTAGCAAAGTTTCTGTGGGGAAAACAGATAGTTACTTGGATACAAAGAATGACATTTTGAACTGTGAACTAACAACCAAGGTATGTTGCTTTATTTAATGATCTCTGAAGAAGGATTTGGATATGCTTCTTTTTAAAAAATTCTATTTGTTTTGTATCTTAGCAAGTCATGAGATTTGCAGAAGTGACCCAAGAAGTTGAAGTAGCAAGACCAGTAGACAAGGCAATATGTGGTTTAACACCTGGGAGGAGATTCAGAAACCAGGCTCGGGGAGGTCCAGTTGGAGATGGTATGATTTTGTGGCAGTATCATTTGCCCACTGACTGGTTTCTTACTTACTTACTTACTTATTTATA